TTTTGGTAAACCTGGTAAAGACCTAGTGAATGCAGGAAACTACAGACCAATTGCACTAACTTCTCATTTATGTAAATGGATAGAAAAGATAATTGTTCGTAGACTGGCATATTATTTAGAGCAAAGAGAACTGTTAAGCCCATGTCAAAGTGGATTTCGTAAAGGAAGATCTACGATAGATGCATTAGTGAAAGTTAGCAATGAAGCAGAAAAAGCAATTGGTGTGAAAGAGGTTATGAGTATAGTATTTTTTGATATAGAGAAAGCGTATGATTCTATGTGGAGAGAAGGTTTAATGATTAAAATGCAGAGAATGGGGATTGGTGGAAGACTTTACAACTGGGTTTTAGATTTTTTAACTAATCGGATATTTCGTGTTAAAGTTGGAGATGCTATGTCAGAAGATTTTAATATTATAAATGGTATCCCTCAAGGTAGTGCTATTAGCCCGATTCTGTTTAATATTATGATAAATGATATTTTTATGAACGTTGGGAAAGACATTGGATCGTCACTATATGCAGATGATGGGGCTATATGGAAAAGGGGGAAAAATATTAAACATGTGACAAATAGTATACAGAATGCTATATTGAATATTGAAAGATGGTCGTATGAATGGGGATTTAAAATGTCAATTGAAAAGTCATGCTTCATGCTTTTTACTAGAAAGAAAAGGACAGATACGGTACAACTGAAATTATATGGTCAAAGAATGGAAAGGGTAACAAAGTTCAAATATTTAGGGCTATGGTTTGATGAGAAATGTATATGGAGGAATCATATTAATCAGATTGAAACTAAATGTAAAAAGGTAATAAATCTAATGAGAGCAATTACTGGGTATGAATGGGGAGCAGACAAACTCTCACTTATGGATATTTATAGGGCATTAATACGGTCGTGTATAGATTATGGGTGTATAGTATATGGAGCAGCAGCTAAAAGTATTTTGGAAAAACTTGATAAAATTCAGTTCAGAGCCTTAAGAATCAGTATTGGTGCAGTTAAAACAACACCTACTAATGCGCTGCTGGTTGAAGCTGACGAGTTACCTCTTTATTTAAGACGTTCTAAGTTATCATTAGTATATTGGGTAAAGCTAAAAGGATCTGGAGAGGAACAACCCGCTGTAAAGGTGTTAAGTGATTGCTGGGAGTATACACAACAAAGAAAATGTAAAGGTTTTGGTTGGAATATTTCTACAGTAGCTGAGGAATATGGACTAAACAGGGTAGAGTATGGACCAAATACTGTATGGGGTAATGTTCCTCCATGGATATTCCCAGTGATCAAGGTTGACTTTCGTCTTATAGAACTAAAGAGAACATGGGCTGAAAGGGAAGTGGATAATATTGGATGTTTGGTTCATAAATATGTGGGAATTAATTATTATAATTACATGACAATATTTACTGACGGATCTAAAGACCCAAGGAGTGAGCATGTAGGAGTAGGAGTATACATTCCAGAGTTTAATGTTGTAATTTGCAAAAGAATTAATGATGGAGTATCTGTATTTACAGCTGAAATTACTGCTATAATCCTAGGATTACAATGGATAGAAGAGGTGAGGCCGGAGAGAGTTGTAATTTGTTCAGACTCTGCTGCAGCTCTTAGTAGCTTAAATTCAAAAGAAACCTCTAGAGATGATTTATTGTTGGAAATATTTACAACATTATTAAGAATACAAAGAGTTGGAACTGATGTACAGTTTTGTTGGGTTCCTGCTCATGCTGGTGTAGAGGGAAATGAGAAGGCAGATGAGATTGCTAAGAGAGCGTTGAATTTAAACAAGAATGATATTATGAAAGTTCCATTTGGAAAAGGTGAGGCTAAATCATTAATTAATAAGGTAGTGAGGGATTTGTGGCAGAAGAAGTGGGACTCAGATAACAAAGGAAGACACTATTATAATATACAAAAATCAATCACAGTGAAAACATATAAAGGAAAGTGTAGAAAAGAGGAAGTGGCTCTTGCAAGACTAAGACTTGGACATACTGGATTAAAGTCAACTTTGTTTTTAATGGCAAAATGCATTTCTGATAAATGTGACAGTTGTAATGTACCAGAAAATGTTGAGCATGTTATTTTGTGGTGTAATAAGTATAGTGCTGAGAGGATCATTTTACGTGGGAAAATGTACGGATTAGAACGTGGATGGAATTTGGAAGGGATTTTAGGAAGGAATGAGAAGATGAGGGAGTGCTGGGAGGCTCTCTTTCGTTTTCTAAGAAATACAGGATTAGATAATATTATATAGGTTAGATATAGTTGAGTTAGTTTCTTTTGCATATTTGTGTGAGTATGTGTGTATACATGTATGTGTATGTAAGTATATGGGTGTATATGTGTAAGTGTGTGTGTGTGTTTAATAATTATTATTATTATTAGCAATTTTATATATATATATATATAAGTTGTTGTTGGGTTTTTTTTTTTGGTTGGTTTTTATTTATTTATTTATTTAGTTTATTTTTATTTTATTAAGACCTGAAGTATGTAAAGCCCTGATATTACACACTCCTGTACAGTAGGTGGCGGTATGCACCTATAAACACTGGTTTGCGATCCGCCATTAAACTGAAAGAAGAAGAAGAAGAAGTCCTGTGCTGGTTCGTTGTCCATGTTTCCCTCGTGTTTTCTGTGCCTGCCTGAGTTCTCTCTTGTTTTCCCCCCCACGGGGTTGCTTTGTTTGTAGTTTTGTTTTGTTTACTTAATAAATATCCTTACCCGCACTTGTATCCATGCTTCCTGTTTTACCTATTCCGTGACAGAACGAACCAGCCAGATGTGGATACAGCGGCGTGAGGTTTTTTCGTCAGGAGAGGAGAAAGGGTCTCATATATCCTTGTTTGACTATTTTGCTATGTGTGCACGTAGGACTGAGGATAAGATAGCAGCCAGCTGGCAGGTTGGAGGAGGTAAGCCCAGTACTGCTACTGGCAACTCCCCTAAACTTCCTAGTCACCAACAACCCTTTGAGGGAACCCGCCTAGCCAGATTTTCTGGGACTAGTGGAGGCCGTAGGAGAGGACAGGACCGACGAGAGAACCCTCCAGTGAGGCAAACTGCAGCGGTCCCAGTGGACCTCGGAGAGCCTGCAGCGGTTCCAGAGGCGGAAAGCTTGGCGCCACCACCTCGCCATCAGACACGGCGGAGGAGGAGGAAGCGGGAGCCAACTGTCCCTCAAGTCCCGGAGGCCGTCCCCGAGCAGCCCGCTGTCGTCCCGGATGCCGTCCCCGAGCAGACCGCTGTCGTCCCGGAGGCCGTTCCCGAGCAGCCCGCTGTCGTCCCGGAGGCCGTTCCGAGCAGCCCGCTGTCGTCCCGGAGGCCGTTCCGAGCAGCCCGCTGTCGTCCCGGAGGCCGTTCCCGAGCAGCCAGCTGTCGTCCCGGAGGCCGTTCCCGAGCAGCCAGCTGTCGTCCCGGAGGCCGTTCCCGAGCAGCCTGCTGTAGCCCCGGAGGACCTGACTTCGATTGTCCCAGAGATGCCCACTCTCCCTATTGCACCGCCAGTGGTGATCAGAGAGGCTGCAGTTCCACCGAGATCTCACAAATGGAGGAGAGGGGCGTCTGCGATCCCACAGGGCCTGGAAGCCATCGCCAAGCGTCTCACCCTGCCGGCACCGCCCCAGCTCCTTGCCCTGCCGGCGCCGCACAGGTTCCTTGCTCTGCCGGCGCCGCCCAAGCTCCTTGCCCTGCCGATGCCGCTTGCCGAGCCTGAGACTGTTCAGGTCACGTCTGCCGATCCAGAGACTGTTCAGGTCACGTCTGCCGATCCAGAGACTGTTCACGTCACGTCTGCCGAGCCAGAGTCTCCGGACAAGATGGCCGCGGCCGAGCCGGCATCTCTTTCTGTTCCTGAGCCGGTGTCTCTTTCTGTTCCTGAGCCGGTGTCTCTTTCTGTTCCTGAGCCGGTGTCTATTTCTGTTACTGAGCCAGTGTCTGTTCCTGTGCCATGGCCTTCCAAAGGGTCGTCTCCACCATGGCCGTCCGAGGGATCATCTCTGCCCTGGTCGTCTCCACCATGGCCGCCTGAAGGGTGGTCTCCGCCGGCCCCTGGCTCAACCCTCCCTCCCCTCTCTGTGTATGTGTTCTGATCTGTTTGTCTTGTCTGCTGTTTGGTCTTGCATGTTGGATGTACCTGTCTTGTTTTTGGTGTCCTTCCTTGGCAACGCCAGGTGGCGTCCCTTTGAGGGGGGGTAGTGTCACAGTTCTGTCACCCTTGTCTGGGTTTTCTCTTGGTTTAGTGACAGAGCTGTGAAACTCCCGGTTTGTCATGTGTTTGTGTTTAGTCTGGTCTGTTGTGAGCACATGGCTGTCATGTTATTTCCTTGTGCCATGTGCTCTCCTGTCAATTGTCAAACGCCGCCCATCTTATCTCGTTATTGGTTAATTTTCCATACCTGCCTGCCTCGTTACCTTATGTTTGTTCCCCTATTTAATCTCCCTGTGTTTGCAGTCCTGTGCTGGTTCGTTGTTTCCCTCGTGTTTTCTGTGCCTGCCTGAGTTCTCTCTTGTTTTTCCCCCCACGGGGTTGCTTTGTTTACTTAATAAATATCCTTACCCGCACTTGTATCCACGCTTCCTGTTTTACCCATTCCGTGACACATACTGAATTGTGACCTCAACACCAAAGTACATACCGAACCGTCATTTTGTGTACCGTTATATCCCCAGTTATAACATGGCTGACAATACACTGCTACACTAAATAAAGGCTGAGATGGTATTGCGATATACAAAGAAATGCCTACATTCACTATAGTTTTGTAATCCTGCACAAATTATTAAAAAAACAACTCAAAGAATAATAATAAAAAGGGTACAATTGTTCTCAAATCTACAATTATTTTTCTTCAATACACAATTGCCCTACATAGGCTATGCCCTACAGCTTTACATCTGTAACATACTGTGACATCACAAAATAAAATAAAAAGATAATCAAATAGCACAAACTGTACAATTATAGATGCCAAACATAAATACATTACCATCACTCCGTTATCTGGAATCAGGTGTGTCCCCATATTTGATGATCCCTCAGGCCCCATGGCTCCAACTCGGCCTGCTATGCCCATCATTTGTGAGGGGCCTTGGTTACCGCTAACCGCAGCAACAGGGTTAAATGAATCTATGTAAGACAATGTACAGTTGACATTCACTGAGGGGGCTAAAAGGTTTAATGAAACTAAAAATACATTACAATATGTTGTAATGTATGGATCTGTGACACCTTACATTAAAATAAAAAAAGTAATATTTGGGACTGTACATTACTTCGCTGCAATTAACACACCAAAAAACAAGAAAGACTAATAAAATTAGAAAATTCTAAATATAACAAAAAAATTGGCGTGGCAAATGTAGAAGCCACGCCAAATGTAGAAGCTTTTGTAGCAAGACAAAAGACAAAGACAAAAGAATTACAGAAAACATTCTGAAGGCATTTTCACACCAAACACAATGTGAAACAGTGAAGAAAATATGCATCAGGCTGAAGGAAACACTAATTCGTGCAAATTCAGATGTGAGAAGTGAAAATTTTTACACAAAGTGATAACGCATAAAGTACATTTGTATTATTTAACACATTTATTGCAGATTGGCAAAAAAAAGGTGTTTGTATTCGCCTGTGCATTATTTATTTATTTTAAGGAATGTTAAATCTGCGTTTGTGTGAGCAAAAAAAAAAAAAAAAAAAAATCAGTCTCTGTCTGGTGTCTATTTAAACAGCAAATACTATAACTGTCTGGAGTCTATTTAAACAGCACATATATATATATTCACACACTTCAAGTCGCCATGAAATCAAAATGGTCAATTCTTAAAAAAAAAAAAATGTATTCAGAGATTATTATAAATGATTTATCTGTGCACCTTCTTTTTTAAATGAATGTGCGTAAAAATCTTTAATCAAAATATCTTCCCCTCCCTCTTGCAGCAACATCTCTTCTCTGAAAGAAGTGTTTACTGGCGTGAGGGAGGGGCAACCTGCCACTCATATGAGATCGATCAATAGCAAACCACAACCATCCAATTCACCATGGATAAAATCAAGCTCCCCCCCCCACCTTTCTGTTCTTATTCCAGTAGCCGCTTCACTCTGATATCATGTTCACACCGTTTCATGCCGACTTTTATTTAAATACAATTTGATGTTAATATAAAAACTGTGCAAAATGTTGGAGCAAACTGATTCATGTAAATCGTAAATATGCACAGAATAAGGTCAAAAGAATATTGACGGAGATTAATTCTATAGGAATCCATTTTTTCCATTCAAAATCTTCTTTGCGATAAGCATTACTGTTTGGTGGGAAAAAGCCTTCAATCTAAAACTGAGATTAGAGACTCTGTAGAATTAAAAAACAAATTCCCTGTTAAAACAGAATAAGAATTTTCCAGGTTAACAAACCAGACAAGACACTTTCGTAAAAAGAGGCAAAGCCACGCTGCAACATTTAAATGCCTGTGCAAGTGATGCACTGCCCCAAAAATTGAATCAAATATAAAAGACACCTCACACAGCTGTTTCCAATTGCATGTGGAGTCTCAATACAATCATACCTCCCATATTAATGGCTCCACGGGTACCCATTTCATTCATTCTCATATCCTGTTCTTTCTGAAAGTGAAAGAGAAGTTTTTAATAAGCCTCAGTCCACACAAAACTAAGAACTTAAATAATGTAACCAATTATGAAGTCTTTCAGCTACAAAAGAATGAAGGATTTAGTACACGACATACATAATTGTACTCAACCAGAATGTGTTTGCAGTTGCGGTGGGAAATGCATGTTGATCGCTAAGTGCCGCTATAACCATAGATTTTTACAAGTTATGGACGTATCATCTTGTTTTTGCAAGTAGCAGTTAATCGCACTAGTGGAGATTACAAGAAAAAAACTATCAATATGATTTTTAAAAATCCCATTCACATAACCAAATTTAGTAATATAAATCATTTGTTGTTTAGAACAGTAAATGTCAAAATGGTGTTTAATCTATATTTACTTTTTCATGGACTGCATGTGCTTTATAAACCAGTAGGCTACTAATATCTGTATTTTATTAAAAATGAATTCTTAATATGTATTATTTTCTCTTTGCAATAAAAAAAAAATATAGAAAATGTGAACTCCATTCACTACACATTTAGGCTTTATGTCAATATAGTTCCCACATTATTTAAAGGTTCAATAAGTGAATTTTGAAAAACACACCAAAATACACTTGTAACTAAACAGCAGTAAGGGGAGAAGCCTATACACTCATGATGGGGGAGGAGAGGGAGCTCAGTGCACAAGACAGACATTAGCAGAAAAACTATAGAAAGCGAGAGATGGCAGAGAAAATACAAAAGAGGAAAAGGGGAATATAACTTTAAAAAGAAGGGTTACGATCAGGCAAGAGGTAGGGCCCACGTTAATATCAGAGAAGCTTTACAGGGCTTGAGAGAGCTTAAGGAGCAGGAAGGCCTGAACACAGATGTCGAGGTTGCTTTATTTCTTCTTGATGTGCGAGTAACGTTGGTTTTGCTGTGTTTCAGAGAACTAACATATGCTGTCTTTTGCTTGAATAGACTTGTGTCATTTTCGCTTGGTTGTTCATTTGCATTATTATTATTATTATTACTATTATAAGCCAGGAACATCTAAACCTTCTCCACCGCCTGTTTCAAGCATCGGCTCCCAAAGTGTGTTTGAAAAGTGAGATAACATACTCCTAATATATGTTTTTTCTTTTGGTTTTCTTTTAGTGATTGCTTAATCCCTTAATCTTGTCACTTTGTAATATATTAATTTACTTGAACTATCGTGTTATGTAAGGAGCTGTTCATGAAAACGGTGTTTATTTTTTGCGATGGAAAGGAAGACTTTGCCATCGAAGTAGAGGAGCTAAATAACAATTAGACATTCGACCTGAATTATCATAGTAACACAAATAGCTTTCACTTATTGATGACGTCATAACCTCGGGAAAATTTAAAGGAACTTTTGGTGCTCAAGTTCAGGGAGTTTCAACCTTTCAGGACGTACGCCCCCCTAAGTTTATCTAAATTCACTCATGACTAGCGTGTCAGGGCATGGGGAAACCCCTTAACTGTTAAAAGGACAAGATATCGCAGCAGACATTCAAACATATTTTTTATTACGAATATAGGACTGACCTGAAAGAAAATGCTATATCTACTGTAAATGCAGGTACACTCGCTTACTCGATCTCTCACAATACTCTACTCTATAAGCTTCAATGAACAATATCAATGAGAACATATGTTTACGTTGCAAAGAGTGGTTGCTACTGTAGGTGTGTTGTGTAGTGATACCAAAGAACGTATATTGACAAGAAGTGAAAGCCAATAGAACGTTCCATTGCAACACCAGCACCCAGCAGCAGCGCTACGCTTCCGCCATTTTGGGGTGAAAGCGACTCGGCAGTCCACTAGTGATGTGTTTCTTTTACTGTCTATGTGTGTCATTCGCGAACGAGCCGGCTCTAAGAGACGATTATTTGAAAAGAGCCGGACTTCCCATCACTATCCACTAGCTTCTTGCTGTCGCTATGGCAATATCAGCTGCTTTGTAAAAAAAAAAAAAAAAGTACATTAAAGATCAAATCCAAACTGAATGATGACAACACAGAATAACGTAGGCCTACAGTCACTAGACTAGTGATCATTAAATCCCAGTTTAGTGATCAGTTTATTTTACAGACTTAGACAAGTCTTCTACTTTTTCCCCACAAAACCTTTAGTAGCCTATTAGCATTACAAACACTGAATTAATACCAACATATAAAATTAAGTAAAGGACATGCTATATCAGATAATTGGGAATGTTGGACAATATATAACAGCAATAGAATAGCTTTACAGTAAACAGTTTTTTTTTTGCAGTACTATCTTATATTAATGAACGTTAAAGCAAGACTATGTAAACAAAAAAAACAGCCACTGTCCAAAAGTGGCAATTATAGGATAACAGACACAGCAATGCATCATGTTCTGTAAGATCATCATGTTTGTAGCATGATCCAGGGGATTAAAACGTACAAAATATATTTCAGGCCTAGTGGAGTTGGTAACTATAAAAGTAGTAAATGTGTAAAGTTGCATTAAATGGAAATACTCAATAAAGCAAGAAAAAACTACCTCAAATGTGTATTTAATGATTCGATTCCACAACTGATATAAAAAAAAAAAACATATACAAGACAATACAGCATTTACTGTAGCTGTTACGTTAACTGTTATCTGTGCTGTTGTCCAGTAACTCCAGTTGGAATCTTCACCCCAAAATGGCGGCCGCGCTACCGGACCGCCACCTAGTGGCTGTTACCAAAAAAGCATCAAAGTTTCTCCTCTTGTTCTTCTATACTCTTTGGTGATACATAGAACCGGTTGGTGAAGCGGTCATATCCATGTTTTATCGTGAATAAAACACAGCTATTGACCAATCAGAATCAAGGTCTGGAACTAACCGTTATATAATACTTAATATGCTGCATGTAGTGTGCAAAACAGTGTCTACACTGGACACGATCCTTGTTGCGTCACGCCTTTCCGCAACAGCTTGAGGATGTCTACACTGGACATGATAAAATGACCATTGCAAATCCATTTGTTCTTCGTGTCAAAAGTAACTCAGACGCTTTGGAGTATGTGAGAAATAGAACGAGGCATCAGTTTACTGTCGGTGATTTTGTGTGTTGCATTATTTGGGGGAGGCACTCTCTGGGAGATACTGCTACTATAGGGGATTATCACGCTTCCGGGTTTCATGGGCGGGATTTGTCAACTTTGTGCATGTCCACTTCCGGCGCAGTTCAACAATGGCGGAAACAAAAGCTAGATGTCACTGCTCTGTTGTTCAGTTAGTCGATGTACGTCAGAAAAAGTTATTTTGGGTAAATTTACCAGGGATGCAGTATAAGTAAACGGGTCGTCCATCATGGATTCGCCAGAGTGATTCACCGGAAGTGACAGTGCACAAAGATCACTGAATGCGGAAGTACTACGTATCAGCGTGATAATCCCCTATTGTGTTTCTGCTTACACATGTAGCTTGATATTCTGTTGTAGTTATTTTGTTTATTTATTTGTTTTCCCTTTATTATCCCTAAAACTTCTGTTTATTATTATTGATTGTGGTATTTGTTTAATTTAATAAAACCTTTGCATTAATTAAACGCTGTTGTCCGATCCCTCTTTTATGTTGCGGCTTGAAACGAGCGGGTCGTAACAACAGCTTACCGAATTTAGAGTAATTTTTCATTCATTTTAACCGTTATGTTTATGTATATGACAAATCACGTAGGTACTGGCCTCTCCGCAGCGGTTGGCTCGGTTTAAAATAGTCTGAATATGAACACTAGGATAAGACAAAAACACGATTTGGAAGATGGTTTCATAATGTACTCACTCGTTATATACATTTGGAATTTTTTTTACAAAAAAGTTACATAGTGTATCTTTAAGCAGAATACAAAAACAGAATTCAGTTGAAAACTAAAATAATATAAAAATAAATCTAATTTCAAGAACCAACAAATAATAACATAATACACAAATAATACATAACATAATACATAACATAATACACAAATAATTGACCTCCCTCCATCAATAACACATTTTCAAGGTTAACATAAAATCTTAGAGCAGTTAGGATAATTATTTATTACAGGTTTGCATATAAGGTTTAGTGTTTGTATTCCCTGTGCGATTTGATTTAAAATAAGACATACTATTTTTAGTTGCTTCCCTGAAACTTTTTGCATGTACAAGTCCGTGAGAGAGACCTGGCGCATCAGAGAGGGAGACAAAGAAACTGTCTGAAAGAGACCCAGAGAGATAAAAAAAATAATAATAAAAAAAAAAAAAGTTCTCAATATTATGTTTTAATTGTACGCAGTAATGCTGCAATTTTTTGGGGGGCAAATCAAATGTATAAATGTTGCACACTAATTGCAAAAACCAACTGTAACAAATGATTTATCTTTTGTTCCTTAAAAGGAACTGAATGCCTTGTTGAGTTCACTTTATAATAAAAATGACAAACAAGGTTGATCGCGAAAAAAGGTTGTGAAGACTGGGCTAAAAGGGTGAATCTGAAAGGACTAAATACATCCTGCTAAAGACCCAAAAAGCCTGGAATGTAAATTTACACACACACACACACACACACACACACACACACACACACACACACACACACACACACACACACACACACACCCACCCACACACACACACGCATCCCCCACAAGTGAAGCCTGCTCAGGACAGAGCGTGGTTTCCAGTTACGAGACATTTTTATGACTGACTTGGAATTTGATGTTCAAGAGAAGGAAACTTCTCTTTTTAAAAGACATTTAACCAGATATATTCGATGTGTTTTTATGTGTGTCCATTTGCCCATGTCACATTGTAATGACTATAATTTTTCCGTTTTAATGTAAATGTTTACTTATAACAGTCGTGTTTGATATCGTAAAAATGCCCTGGACTTGACTCAGCCAGATATATGTATGAACACACCGTAAAAGGTATGATTATGTGCATAACACATCTCTGCAGTAGAAATGACCATTCCTAACACAGGTCATAATTTAATTAGACAAG